TTTACAGCAAACACGTTTTGGGCAGCAGAACACTAAGATTACTGCTACTGAGTGCTGATTGGTTGGCGACCGGAGTAGCTCATTGGCTGTTTGTGCTCACTGACGTCATGAACGTACATGAGGCGCCGTTTTAAACTCCTATAACTCGAGTTTAAAAGCTCTTAAAAATATTACAGCAGTGTTAAAATGTTTTATGCTGTTCCGTGTTCAGGATATGAATGTATTCTTTTGTCTTTATCTAAATGTTTCAGCATTTATAAACTAAGATTTTACTCAAATGCTCCGTATTAGTTCATTTTGGACTCGCTCGGGAGCGCCCTCTAGCGTTTGAGAATCCCAGAAGACATTACAGAGTGGTAATTCTCCTCTCTACCAGTTCCCTGACTGTGCTTCCTTCCCGAGTTTTCCAGTAGATCTTAAAGGTCTGTGAGAAAAGCTTCTGTAATGCTGGCTCTGGTTTGAAAGCTGCAGCTTGTCCAGAGTCATTTGGCCGCTATGTCTGGTCTGTTAAAGCCCAGTAAAAAGGCCTGATTGTTTACGGCCCCAGTGCTCCTATAGCTCCCGCTCCAGCAGATGCCACTCCACTTTACTCCTGTGAAGGTGCCAAAGCGGTGTGCCTCTGCCATGCAGCGAAGGTGCCATTATTGGGTTTAATCTGGTGATATTTTCCTGTTGGCCCCCAACGCCTCTCCAGAAGACAGCTGGTATTTTGTAATTGTCATTGTTTATTTGTTTTCCTGGCAGCTCTCATAAAGTTGGGCTTTGGACGGCGAGGCGATGATTATTAGAAAAGGCGGAGAAGGCTCTGTCGATGAAGGGCCTGACACAGATGCCACAATTCAATTAGTGACGACGAGGTACGAATAAACAGGCATTACCCACAATGCCCGACGTGGGTCCCTGCGGAGGCGTTGCTATGGATACTTCACCCTGATTGACTGCTTAAGTGTGTGAATTAAATTAAGCGTCTAGGTCTCGTCAAGGTAACTAAACTTAGGCGGAAAACTGTCCATTGTCTGTCGAGTGCAGTGATGCGTGGAGACCCAGATTGGACAATTATCTTAATTATGCTAATATGGCAGCTCGACAGTGTTGTAAGGGTTATATGTAGCATATAATGGTTCACACGTAGTTTAAAGGAGCAGTGTGTACGATGACGCAACCTGTAGAGTTCATACCCCACTCAGTCCCTCCTCCTCCTCCTGTTTACTTAACAGTCTACAAGAAACGTTAAGCACCAGACTTCATCCCTTTTCTCTCCAGTGGCGGAAGGCAGCACCAGTGTTGACTTGTTTCGCTTCTATTTGTCACTTCTTTTCTTTGCTGCTGAACGTGGAGTGGACATGCTATTTCTCCGTCCTGATGGTAGACCCGCGGCTATACTGACTCCCTATCGCCTCTTAAGGTACAAAGTGGTATTACAAGACACGACAGGCCGGGGATAGCTGGCTGTGTAGACCCGCGAAGGCTGAACCGAAGTGGGACTGTCTGCTCTATGGCGGATTCTTTGTTTACATCACAGCACCCGCTGTTCCCACCCTTCCTGCTGCGTCCTGATACGCCGCTCCTGTCAGTTTCTTTTAAAGTTCTTTAAAGATGGACCCAGAAACTTTGATTTGAGTTTATTTATTTTTCATTTTCATTGATTAGAGCTGTATCGTTCGCTATTCGCCTCAGTTTAAACCCAATACTTACATTTAAAAGTGTCTCATCAGCCACCGTTCGCTCCTCTGCTGACGCCACCACATTCTCGAATCCTTGCCGGCACGCGGTGAACCTCGGGGTATGTTGGCTGCCATTGGATCCTTCGTTGCCATGGAAAAAAAGGACACATTTCTTGGCCACATACGAAGGAGTCTTTGAAATGGAACGGCCTCGTCGCACTGCTGTGACGCAATCAGCCTCCGAAGGACGCAGCCCCTGAATTGGGACGCAGCTATAGACGTCGTTGACATAACGTCAAAACTGTTATTTCTTCACATTCTGTCGATCATTTTAGTTAATCTTTAAATGTTTTAAACTACTAATCATTCAGATTGCTCCTTTATCGATTGCTCCTTCAGCAGACACTCATACAGCACCTCCTCACTGTGATGGGACATTACTGTATACTGAGCCCCTGACAGGACAGACTCACTGAGCACCAGCTGGACGTTATATCTCTCTACTCATTCTTGTGCACTGGCATTTTGTTTATACGTCTGTGATGAGGCAAACGTGTTGCCCATCACCAGAGGACTGTGTGTGTGATACTTACCTGAACACCTACCTGTAATACTCACCTGTTGGCTGTTTCCTAACACCGGCAGCAAAGGGAGGCAGAGCAGACGGAGCTCACTCATGAGCGTGCCGGAGGGCCCACGGCCAGCTCCTGAGAGGGGTGATATCTCTACCTAGGGCACAGAAGACAGAGTGAGACAGGCTGGTAAATGTGTGCACTGTATGAAATGTCCCACCGGTAATTTCACGCGTTAAGGCCTTGTGATATGCAATTATGATTTTATTTACCCTTGTTTTTAATCCACTCTTATGTGACAGCAACACCCCTGCAGAGTGGAATGGTTCAGCTCAGGTGATGCAGGGGTGGGGCTAACCCTATAAGAGGCAGGGGAAGGGTTAAGTAGGGGGCTAGCTCGAGGATACTCAGCTCAGGTGATTCGAGGAGACTGAGGGAAAAGGGAGTAAGAGCTCAGCTAAAAAGAGTGCGGCCTGAGACTCCTTATACTTACCTGTACTGATCGAGTCGGGTCAACGTTTTAACCTCTATTTACTTTGTGTTTGTACAGTTTTTCTTTTGTGTGTTTCACCGTGTAAATAAAAAAAGAATCAGCCAGAGTCGTCACATCCTCAGCCTGCAACTACGTTCCACTACCCATTCAGTCACAAACTACCCGGTGACTCCTAACACCGTCTCCTAACGGGGTTCGGCGAAGCATCGTCACAACGTCCATAAGTATTGCGTATTGCATGGTATTATTCCTATATTGCACTGCCACTTTTTTATACACCCAGGCATATTGCACAGCTGTTAACATATATTAGCTTTTACAGTGTTTAGTCACTCGGTTCATTCACTGGTCGTGACATGCACCACTGCATTGTCACCTGCATAATATTTATGATTTTACTTACTTATTTTTGTCCTAAACATTGTATTTTCTTGCTTGTTTTAGTATATTTTATTAATTATCTTCTTCTATTTATGCATCTGTATAACAGCATACGACTTCAGCTCGTTTTACTCTTTACTGTACTTCATGCTGCTGTAATCCTTCTGGGATCTGTCTATCATCTATCTATTTAAAGTCAACCTGAAAACAAATGTATCTCTTTTTTTTTCTTTTTTTTTACCTTGTTAGTTCATATCCCTGATCATATGAAACTTAATTCGTCTTATCGAGAGAGAGAATACACTCAGCTAGCTCAGAGACCATACCTGATATCATGGTATGGAGGAAAATGCATGATTTCTCATTCACACTGACTTTAACTGAACTTTTCACTGATTCATGTGAAACTTTACATTATTAGGGAATCCAAAGCTGCTCTGTGTAGTCCTGGGTGCTCTCTGTCTGTCTCTCATATACACAGTATGTGCACGGTAATGTATTGTCACTGTAAAACCAAAACCTCCAAGAAAGTAACTTCACAGAAGAAGGAAATGACTTTCACCGTGAAGCCTTGAGGACATTACACAAGTCTTATCAGATTACAAAAGACTGGGCATCTCACACTATCCGACTGGTTTTCGATACGTTGGGGTGACTAGCATATCAGGGACCACACACTACAGGACTTTTAAGCTGTTGCTGAACTGAACGGAGCTCACTGAACTCACACTAACACTCACGTTCTCCCGTTACTGGGAGACGCAGGTAAACAAACGTGGAGCTGCTGCTGCTGTTTTCTCTGCTGTTTTTGCTGACACAGTAAAGAAGCAGCAGGTAAACCCGTTTTAGAGGATCATGGATTAAAAAATGTGATCGGTTTGGTATTTTTTAGAGTTTTAAATGTACATAAACTCGATTGTGGTCCTGCTTTAAACTCAGCTCATTAGAAAGCTTCGCTCCACATGTGAGTGACTTTTCGCCATTTTCCTTTGTTTACTTGCTGTATTGTCCTCTTTCTCGCTCTCAGTTTTCATTGGCTGTTGCAGGAATCTGTTCAGAGTGAGTCGTTGATCAGTTTGCACTAGATTACGCTCAGAGTCGGGGCGAAAAACAACCAAACAAACATGTTTGATAAACTCTGTCTGGTCTGAAATGCAATCGGTAGTCCACAAGTCCCTCACACACGACTCGATTCTCTCTCCAGCTGTCGACTCCGACCGACCCAAAAATCTGCAGGCTGGCGCCGACCAGCACTGAGAATCGGGGCTAAAATCGGGGTAAAGGTCATGTAGTGTAACCCCGGCTTTAGTGGATGTAACGTGGTTTTATTCTGTTATTTTGGAGCTTTTTTATTTTGGTTGCTGGGAGCAATAATATATATGTGCACCATAACAGGTATATACATACAGGGCTTAGATACGGCGATATTTTTCTGGTAAATATACTGTGTAGCTGCCATGGGGCTCGCCGCCTCTTATGAGCGTAGAAGCTTTGCTATGCAAAATGCACGCGAAGAAGCTCATGGGACACACGGCCCCCAGCAAAAAGAAACTGTTTATGATGTTGTTTCGTTGTTCATGTTGTTGTTGTTTGGTTAAAGTGTGTGTGTGTGCTCATTTGTTATTCTGTGCCAGGTTTTGGGGGCTAGTTAGAGTGGGTTACTGTTGGTAAGCATAAGAAAAAGAGGCTGGGAAAGACTTGCCTCCCATTTCATTTGCTTTTCTAGTGGCCTTTCTGTTTTCTAAACTTAATAAAGGGCAGAAATAATGGCCTCACCTGACCCTTCTTCTGATTTGACCCCACAACTCCTGCATGGACATGTTTACCCATCAATGATTTGTCTCCTGAATCAGCTCCATCAGCATCTTCCTTTGTCGTCTTCCTTTCTAGGAGTTCGTGAGCCTTTCCAAAAGACTGCTGAGTGATGCCGAACTCCAGGAGACCCTCAAGAGGAACGGGAAACTCTACGTTTCGGAGTCCCACAGCTCTGCCAGAGAAAGGACGACCTACCAGCAGCTGGTGGACATGCTCCATTGACAGTCGGATGGACTTGACCTTCACCAGGTTCATCGCGTCTTTTAGCTCAAACCCAATTTTAAAGCTCTTCGTTGATGTTTTTGTTAAATGCCGTCTTTTGTACGTGTTAAATTATTTTAATAAATTTAGGCAAAAGGGACGAACAGTGGGTGGAGCTGTGTGTACTTAAGTTTGTGTTGCGGAATTGAATTAGAGCTGCATTAACCTTGACTTTCTTAAGCTCTAGTGAGAATCAGTCCCGCAACAACAACCTGTATTCACACTCGGCTCCGGGGGTTTAACTGTCTGTGCACTAATTCAAAGGAGGTGAGGCACAAGTGGGCCTTTCTTTCCACAAGCTTTGGGTAGCAGAGGTTCTCTAAGGCTGCCGTTTTATTATTAGATACAGTTAGGAAAGATCTGAAATGCAATTTCTGACTGATGTTGTTACACAAGGATAGGAAAGGGCCTGTGAGATGTGTTTACTTGGAAGAAAAATTTGCCTTTTTAATGGTTTCTTTATTGCAGATGCCCTCTTAGGCATTTGACCAGGCTTTGACCATAGCTTTTTGAGTCTGCAGTGGTGGAGAGTTTTTTAAAACCAACTATTCAGGGTCCATTTCATCACAAACTAACCAAGTCACATACAATCCATTGCGTCACCCAGCTGAAGCAAAGCCAGTTGTAAACATGACATCTAATATATTGTTGCTGTCGGGACAAAACCTCATATCTTCATTTTTTGCTTTTCACTTTTTGATATGATTTCAAAAGGTCAATTGCCGTTTATGATGTGTCAGGAATTTAGATGAACGTGCCAACAGAACTGGTCCAAAATTATTAGGGAAAATAGATTTATCCATTCATTTCCATTAAAAATTAGGGTATATATTTCCTTTTTTGGAGATACGAGGTTTTGTTCCGACAGCAGCGAGATTTTTGATAGAAAAAGAATATTTTCAGAAACAGGTAAACTAGTAAATCTCCAGTCTTACTCTGGAAATGCATTTATCATATCAGTTATCAATGCATTTATTTATAGTACTGATTTTATAGAAGCAGGATATTACTTAAGAGAGATTACGGTTCACATTGTTTACTAAGGAAGCACAATTCATGTAAACTTAAGACAATTTAAGAATCCTAAATCCAATGTATGGTGGTGGTACTGCTGATCTGGGGTTCTCTAATGTTACTCTTAAAGAATGCATGTGTGGTTATGTTCAGGGGCTTATAAATATTCATGTGTACATATATGCAGCGCTGTTATCTGGGCAGTATGTTTCTGCCTTTAAAAACACCATATAACATTAGAATGAATGCAGTAAAAGCAGCAAGAATTTCCTGTTTTTAACAAAGTAGTTGAGCCAGTTTGAAGAACAAAGATTTGCTTCCACATTTCTCCTCGATGCCTCCAGCCACTGTATGGATTTATTCAGCTCTTTCACCAGCACTCTTAATTTAACAAGTATTAATTAAGCAAAGATATCGGGAGGTTAACTATACTTAATGCTGGCCTTCCTCGAGGAGACATTTGGAAATCGTTAAACAAACACATTGACATACATAAAATCACTGCCTGTGTTGATATAATTTGTATTTATTCTAATATTAGTGTTTTTCTGAGCAGCTGCCCAATTAAAAAGCTTTTAAAATAAAATTTAATCATATTCAACAGTGCTGTATGTTGGTACGTTGAGGCAGTAACTTTTTTTTTTTTCCTTGAATCTTTATTCTCTTCAATGTAAAAGCATTCTATAAGTTATTTGACAAATATTATGATTCATAATATTACGTCGAGACATTTCGGCATCATGCATTGTCTTCTGAATGTTCTTCAGATATATGAAAATGGAATGTAACTATGAAAATAAAGGGAGCTTTGGATAAGCTCAACTGTGTTAATGTGTTAATTGTGAAATATATATATAATATTTATATATAATATGTGTTGTGCTGGTCTGAGTGGATCAGACACAGCAGTGCTGCTGGAGGTTTTAAACACCTCAGTGTCGCTGCTGGACTGAGAATAGTCCACCAACCAAAAATATCCAGCCAACAGCGTCCTGTGGGCAGCGTCCTGTGACCACTGATGAAGGACTAGAGGATGACCGACACAAACTGTGCAGCAGCAGATGAGCTATCGTCTCTGACTTTACATCTACAAGGTGGACTGACAAGGTAGGAGTGTCTAATAGAGTGGACAGTGAGTGGACACAGTGTTTAAAACTCCAGCAGCACTGCTGTGTCTGATCCACTCGTACCAGCACGACACACACTAACACACCACCACCACGTCAGTGTTACTGCAGTGCTGAGAATGATCCACCACCCAAATAGTACCTGCTCTGTGAGGGTCCATGGGGGTCCTGACCACTGAAGAACAGGGTAAAAGGGGGCTAACAAAGTATCAGAGAAACAGATGGACTACAGTCTGTAACTGTAGAACTACAAAGTGCACCTATATAGTAAGTGGAGCTGATAAAATGGACAATGAGTGTAGAAACAAGGAGGTGGTCATAATGTTACGCCTGATCGGTGAGTATATTTATATTGCTGTTAGAAGAAACCTCATATCTCCATTTATGTTGTTTTTCAGTTTATATATATGTATATATAGGATTGTCACTCATTTGCTAAAAAGAAAAGTTATTAATTTAATATATATATAAATACAAAGCAGTTGTCACTTCATTAACGACATCAAAGTATAATTTCATTAAGAGTGCTAATTTCTTTAGCAGATCAGTGCTAATTTTAAAAAAACCCTTTCTTTTTCTTAATGACTGAAGCACAATAATTATCATTAATTATTATCATAATTATTATCATTAAATGTTAAATGTTTCTTCTTACAGCTCTACCTAAATACCATGGGCAGTCACGTTCTCTTTGTAGTCTGAATGGGTTTTTTAGACTATGTCTCCACCAACTTGTCACAAGCAGCAATGATTGACCATTAATTCTGCAATATTTGACCATTTTTCTTTGAAGCCGGATCAGGTTCCTCAGGTACATCTGAACAGTCTGGAGCTCATTCCTCAGTTTTCAGCTGGGTTCTGGCTCTAATAGGTCACCCCAGGACTTTTTGGAATGAAAGTTTTCATCAAATAATATTCTATATTTCGCCGACCTGTGTTTGATCCTCTGTTCCTGGCAGTAATCCTCGTAGCATAATGCCGCCGCTGTGCTTTACAGTGGGGATGGTGTGCTTTGGGTGATTTACTGCTCTGTGTTTGTGCCAAATGTACAGCTTTATATTCAACCCACAATGCACTTTAGCTGTGTACCCTGCAGATGGTCTTTTGACTTCCACAAAACTCCACTCGAGGGGAACTTTCTTGAATAATAGATACCAGTGTGCCACTTTGCCAAGCCTGGGTGTCGAATTCAATACTTTTACGGTACCAAACAAATGACTTCAGTGCCAGCATTGAACAATTATGTCATTCAATACCAAATTGCTGTCAATAAGTAGACAGTCTCATCAGTGTCAGCGAGCCTGTAAGCATGCTTGCTCTCAAATCCACACTGCTGATTGGCTGACAGACAAGTTTCAGTATAATCATTTTTTCAGTTTGAATTTGTTGGGCAGAATGTCTGTTAGATGTGTCTGTATCTGTGTGGTGGAGCTGATTCTTTCCTGGTTTGAGCTTTAAATTAAATCCACACTCTGCTGGATATAACACACAGTAGCACTGAATGCAGTCTCTCTCCGCATTTCCTCAGCATTTGACACAGCACGGCGTTTGTGGGGTACAGAGTTATACATATTGAATTGCGAAAGAAATAAATGTACATAGCTGCAGAATTTACATTCATTTCCACCAGTCTGATTAAGGTAGGATGATGAAACATAGCTCAGCTAAAGTGTCAGAACTTCTGTATTAGGCAGAAATATCTAATACATATGAAATGAGTCTGCATAAAAAAAAATGTGTTGGCGAAAAACATCTTGCAGTTTTGTTTTGCTATTCAGATCTCATTACTTCTGAAAAGCATATCAATACAAATGCTAGGGTTGCATGATGAGATCGGAGTCATATCTTTATCAGCAGTTATTTGCACACATATATGTATATGTGTGTATATATATATATATATATGTATATATATATATGTATGTATATGTATATATATATGTTATATGTATATATGTATATGTATATATATATATGTATATATATATATATGTACGTATATATGTATATGTATATATATATGTATATATGTATGTATATATGTATATATGTATATATGTATATATATATATATATATGTATATATATATATATGTATGTATATTTATGTATATTATATATATATATGTATATATATATATATATATGATGAGCAGCTGAGCAGCCGCACACAAGCCTAAGATCACTATGCGCAATACCAAGCGTCGGCTGGAATGGTGTAAAGCATTCTGCCGCTGGACTCTGCAGCAGTGAAAATGTGCTCTCTGGAGTGATAAATCATGCTTCACTATCTGGCAGTCTGACGGACAAATCTGGGTTTGGTGGATGCCAGGAGACGCTACCTACTGGAATGCATAGTGCCAACAGTAAAGTTTGGTTGAGGAGGGATAATGGGCTGGGGCTGTTTTTCAGGGTTTCGGCCCCTGTTCCACTGAAGGGTGATGCTAATGCTGCAGCACACAAAGACATTTTAGACAATTATAAGCTTCCAACTTTGTGACAACAGTTTCCTGTTCCAGCATGACTGAGCCCCAGTACCAGTGAGCTCTATGAAAGACATGATTTGATGGGTTTGGTGTGGAGAACTCCAGTGGTCTGCACAGAGCCCTGACCTCAACCCCACTGAACACCTTTGGGATGAACTGCAACATCAATTGCGAGCCAGGCTCTCTTGTCCAACAACAGTGCTTGACCTCACAAATGCTCTTTTGACACAAATTCCCACAAATCTTGTGGAAGGCCTTTCCAGAATTATTGCTAGGTGGGCCAACTCCATGTCAAAGTCAATGGTTTTGGAATGGGATGTACAACAAGCTCATAATAGTGTGATGGTGATGGTGTCCACATACTTTGCCTATTAAAGAAATATATACATAAATTTCTACATTTTATGAATGTTTATGTATCGGCATCAGCAAATATGTACAAAAAAATATCAGATATCAGCATCGGCCAAAAATTCCCATATCGGTACATCCGAAAAAACCCCAAAAATTGCAGGGACTCAGCAGCTGTATGCATTGTGACGAACAAGCAGTTGGTCAAACATCAGTAAGCGAATACTTTTTCAAAGGAAAGTTTGTAATTATTACTACATTTGGACCACAAATGATTGAAACTGCAACCCTGGTGTAAAGTCAATTAAAGGTCTTCATACTTTTCAGCAGTCTCTTCTTTTATAGACCTCTGGCAACTAAATGATTAAATATTTGACTTTTAATACTCTGATATAACTCACTCCTCCTGACAGCACAGACAGCAGATTAAAGCTTTGTGTTCCAGGGGACACTTTGCTCGTGAACCATTTAGCAGGGGTGAAAAATCCAAAATATCATGACCTTGAACATTTCAAAAAGTCGAAGCCAATGTGCGATAAATAGAATGCTCAGCTTGACGTTCTCCTATCTGTCAACAGCAGACACAAAGCATTTGCATGACAGATTACCTGCAACCCAGATGCATAAAAAACAGTAATGACTCTAACAGCTGCTTTGACCTTAGTAAATAAGACTTGCAAATGAACTTATTTGCATCATATTCATCTGCTGCAAATCACCCATTAAAGCCCATCACACCTCATCAACTTAGTAGGTCAGTGACTCAGCAACCCAGGTAGATTGAAGGTTAAATAATTTGCTTCTGATTATAAAAAAAAAGGCTGAGCTTCTTGACCCCGGAGAGGCAGATGATTGTGGTTTGGTCTGCTTACATTGTTTTTACTGACCTTAAAAGGATTTGATTTGCCGTTGACAGCTGTTGACGCTGGTAGACCTTCAAGAACCTTTCTGCAATGTATGGGCAGTGTTTACATTGTGGATTATAGATTATAGATGAAATCCATTTATCCAACTCGATTCACCCACAGTAATATAATAAATGACACCAAATAACACATGACTTAATAGGTATTTACACTGTTGCTGTTTTTTTTTTTTAATGAAAAACATGTTAAATAAGTTAATTCAAAGCCAACTCAACATACAAATGCAGGGTGCTCGGGAGTGAACAAATGTAACTTAAATATACACAGCAGTCGTGATTATTCTGTAAAAAAAAAAAACAAATCGTGTTCTATTCACAGTGGCAAACAGTAGTTCTTAAAGTTTTCTAGATCATAACGTCAAGCTTTCCTGAGAAAAACCTTCTCAGGTGGTCGGTCAGTCCAGGACTTCACAAGAAAAGCAACTATCAGTTGCTTTGTGACAATGTAGACAACAATCCAGGATGCTAAGCACCATCGAAATATTAGGATATTGCTCGTCTTTTCCTTTTTGATATACTCGGTTATAAAGGCGGAACACAACTCTTGAGCCTAGACACAAAGTATACCACGACCTGGGATTTCTAGAAGCCGTGAGACAGCACGGACGACCTGGAATTTGACCATAATCCCAAGTTTTGTAGAAAATACTGGAGTCTTTTGGTTCCAATCCCTTTACTCCAAAATAGAAGGCATATGGGTGATACATTTGGGGCTTGTAACTAAGTCGCAAATGTACACAACTTGTAACTAAGGGTTTGTGTGAAAACACCCCACAGTCTCCATTAGAGCTTTTCTACAGGTTCAGTACGTGGTGCCTCAGGTGTCCCACAGTTCTCTTCCTTGCCCACCCACTGGATGCCATGCCCATTTTCTCTGGGTATCGTAGAAGGTGAATTCTGGCGGTCCAGCGAAGCAAAAGTGGTGAATTGAACCCTCTTCCGCTTGCTGGTGGGTGAGTGCAGGGACTCGCTTCTGCCTGGTTTGGCCCTGAGAGACCCCACACACCCAACATTTGTCTCTCCGGACACTGAAGCCACCTGGCAGCTTGTCCGTCTGGTGAGAGTGCCACAAGGCTCAGTGTTAGGGCCAATGTCGATTACAGTGGTGCTGTGAGTATCCTGCTGCAGCGGGCTGCCTGGCACGTTCATAACCAACTCGGCATCTGTACCCAGCCATACCCAGTCGTGCCGGTGGCCAGTATGCTCTGGGGCCTGAGAGGGTGGCTGCTTGTGACGGAACTTAACCAAATACGAGATGCAGTTAACCAGGAATACAAGAATCGCCAAGCAGAAGACACACAGTAATGCGTACATCCCAATCTCAAGGTCTGTGAGCGGCCGGTTTGCTAGCGGCCCTTCAGTTTCACCATCATCACCGTAGTCGCTGTTATCATTTTTCGGCTCTTGGTTGGGCACTTCCACTTGTGCAGGATAGTTGTTGTAATTCAGCAAGTTTCCTGGAGCTTTTCCTGTGCTTTCCGTAACCTGAATACCGTTGTCAAGATTCCTGGTACTGCTGTCCCTGCCTGGTCTAGCAGGACTGAGGTTCTCGTTATTCAGAATATTCCCAGGCTTGCTGACCCCTCCAGACGCATCATTGGCTCCTCTTGCTTCCAGATCGTTTGCGATACTACCTGCCGAGGATTCTCGTGATGTTGACTTGGTGGTAGTTGTAATCTTCCTCAAAGCGCTTTCCTCTCGTTCTGAAGCAGAACTGCTGCTTGGTACCTGACCCGGCTGCTGCTGCTTCTTGTCGCCGTCTGTTTCTTCGCCGTCATTGCCGTAATCGCTGCTGTTGTCCTTCCCGTTACCCACCGTAATGCTTCCCGTGCCGCTGCCGTCGACGCTGCTGCTGTTTTCTCCGCGTCTGCTGTTGACCTGGAACTTGACAGTTAGGCTCCCGCTCCCCACGGCTAGAGTGCTCTTGCGCTTCGTTTTCTGACAAACCTCGCATATAGTCATTTCAGCTCTCACCAGCGCCCCCTGGCCCTCACCATCCGCCACTACGGCCAGAGGTGAGTCCCGTACTGAGACCACACCCTCGTCCAAAGAAGTTATGGTCAAACGGTAGTGAGTGGGGTCATATATGTCCAGAGGGGTCAGGGAGCCATCGCTGAACTGTAGCCATGCACTCAACAGTGCCTCCTAAGAAGGGAGAAAGTATGAAATAAGTGGTTGTGAATGAATCAGATTCTGAATTATTACCTATTGAAAGATGTATAAGGAATTTTTCTTGGTGCTGATGAAATCCTGTATGAATTCCACTGATGTTAGGATATGTGTAAATAACTAGGGTATTAACCTGTTTGGGACTGTTGAGCACTTCCTGTGTGGTTGCCGTGGCACTGATGGCTCGGTTACTTCCTGTGCTGAGCTGCAGGCTGAGCGAGAGGCCACTGACCAACTGCAGGCCGAGCTCGGTGATGCTCACTCGCTCGTCCAGCACCCGCACCGTCCTCTCCGCCAGGATGGTGTCTGACAGAGGAGACAGAACCTGTAGAGATGGAGTAGTGACTAATTCAGAAAGCAGTTTTAAAAGATACAAGGTTTTCTTTTAACAGTGATGGCATTACTGCATATAGTATACACATCAATCAGGCATAACATTATGACCACCTCCTTGTTTCTACGCTCATTGTCCATTTTATCAGCTCCACTTACTATATAGGTGCACTTTGTAGTTCTACAGTTACAGACTGTAGTCCATCTGTTTCTCTGATACTTTGTTAGCCCCCTTTACCCTGTTCTTCAGTGGTCAGGACCCCCATGGACCCTCACAGATCAGGTACTATTTGGGTGGTGGATCATTCTCAGCACTGCAGTAACACTGACGTGGTGGTGGTGATGGTGTGTTAGTGTGTGTTGCGCTGGTCTGAGTGGATCAGACACAGCAGTGCTGCTGGAGTTTTTAAACACCTCAGTGTCACTGCTGGACTGAGAATAGTCCACCAACCAAAAATATCCAGCCAACAGCGTCCTGTGGGCAGCATCCTGTGACCACTAGAGGATGACCAACACAAACTGTGCAGCAGCAGATGAGCTATCGTCTCTGACTTTACATCTACAAGGTGGACTGACAAGGTAGGAGTGTCTAATAGAGTGGACAGTGAGTGGACACAGTGTTTAAAAACTCCAGCAGCACTGCTGTGTCTGATCCACTCGTACCAGCACAACACACACTAACACACCACCACCACATCAGTGTTACTGCAGTGCTGAGAATGATCCACCACCCAAATAGTACCTGCTCTGTGAGGGTCCATGGGGGTCCTGACCATTGAAGAACAGGGTAAAAGGGGGCTAACAAAGTATCAGAGAAACAGACGGACTACAGTCTGTAACTGTAGAACTACAAAGTGCACCTATATAGTAAGTGGAGCTGATAAAATGGACAATGAGCGTAGAAACAAGGAGGTGGTCATAATGTTACGCCTGATCAGTGTATATTTACAGTGGGGGTCCAAATGGCCACTAGTGAAATTGATTGTCTTCTAATTTAGATGTTCATTACAAATGATATCATCAGCATAACTACTTGAGTGAAAAGTAGAATCTTTAAAATGTTTATGAATTTCAGAATCTCGTAGATTTGATATGTCCCCCCTTTTGCTTTAATAACAGCATGCGCTTCAGACTCCACAAGTGGAAAAGCCTGTGATGAGTAGATCCACTTGAGAGATGTCTGAACACGAGCTTCAGTGGGAGAAATAAGACTCAAAAACATCTGACCTTTTTCTGCAAAGGCCTCAACATGGTCACTGTCACAAACAGGCTTAAATTTGAACACTGAGCTAGAAATAGTGCAGAAAATTATAATTTTACCTTTCTTTGTTTTATAGGTTTCAAAATTCAAAAACCTTCTGTTTATTTCCAGCTTTAAATGAAATAAAAATCCCGGTCTCAGATTTGGGACCTCACTGTATATACGTGTAAAAGTTTGACTATGGAGCAGAGTAATGAGCCGCACGGCCTTTAACCTGACAGGAGGACCGAGTGCAAGATTAACTTTAATGAACCTTTATGGAGGTGGTGCCCACGTCCCGTCCTGACAGCACCCTGCCAGCCTGCAGACGGGCGATGTTGGTGTCCTCCACCTTCATGAAGTAGCGCACCAGCTTTGTGACATCCACCTGCCAATCAGAGCCCAGGAAATAGGCCTGAGGTTCCCGTGGGTCCGACTGCTCGGCCACGAAGTGTGTGAGGACTCGAACCAGAGCGTGCTGGAACTGCAGCATGCAGCCTCGGCCCTTCCTCTCCTCCTCACTGCTCCAGCCCAGCCTGCTGCTCAGAGATAAAGAGAAGATCTAACGATTTCTTTGAAATCTAAAAGAAATACAGGTTTAATTTTCATCTTTTATGTAATATCATCATCAAGCTTTTTGGATTGGAACCTGCAAATATTGTGGTTATACTCTTATTTCATTGCTTCGGTTGGAAATGAAAGGGTTAAAATATTAAAATGCCCAATAGGAAATGAGCCAATCTGGATTTTTTTCTTGGTGGTATGTATGAAGATACATTCAAGTGCACTCTCTCATTGGTTAGGACTTCAGGAGCTGGACTGAAGCTCTTACACATTAGATTAACTACCAACATAATTTGGAAATGACAGAGAAATCAAACATTGATTTTTACTGGATGAATTAATTTTGTGAGAAAAATGTTACTTCTTGATATTTTAGCGACTGTAAGTATGAGCAAGTCAGGCGTTAGAAATAGAAAATAGCGGCAGCAGATTTAAATATAAAATTATCGCTGTTGTTGGAAGAAAACCTCGTATCTCCATTTTTCAGTTTTTGAATAAATTGAAAATGCCTGTTTTCCTTTACATAGTATATAAATTTCATGATGAATGGACCAAAAGAAACAGCCAAAAATAACTTGGAAAAAAGTCTGGTTCCATTGACTTACATTAAAACTAAAGTAGGTTTTTTCCTTCTCCTGTAAATTTACGATTTGGAGATACGAGGTTTTCTTCCGAAAACAGCGATATGTTGAGATGTCTTATACAAGCTTCAAATAAAACTTGCAGTATGTTTTTCAAGCTACAAATTTCCATTTTTAATCTACAACAGCCAAAAAATGTTGTAGTTAGTTTAGCACTAACATACTAATAGTCCCATAGGTGTGCTAGCAAAAATATCATTATCATAGAGGTGGTCTTTTCCTCATTTTTGACATTTCTGCCCCAAACTGAAGCCCTAGTCTGAAAAGTTTTGAGGTAGTGTCAAGTTTGAGTCACCTGCTGTGACATTGTAAGCTTAAAGCCACTTAATATGAAGTAAGCATGCTTGAAATGATAACAACAGATTATTTTAAACTTATTATTAGTTGCTAACTTGCTAATGCTGGTTAGATGACAGTTTACATACACATACATACATACATCATCTAAACCGCTTATCCTTCTGGGTCGCGGTGGGGTGCTGGAGCCTATCCCAACTGTCACTGGGCGGAAGGCAGGATACACCCTGGACAGGCCGCCAGTCCATCGCAGGGCATGACAGTTTAGGTCTAGCTAATGACAGTAGCCAGCTAGCTTTGCTAGACACCTACCTAGATAGCTAGGTAGCTGTTATTTATACTATGCCATTGGTAACGTAGTTAATATTAGCGTTTAATGCTGCGTTTGTAGCCAGTTAACATGATCTATAATGAGTGAACCAGAACGATATCGGTCCGGTCAGTATTGATATCACTTTGCCATCACGCTAGTTGCCAATTCATGCTTGCTGCCTCTGCTAATGTTATGGTTGTATGACGATTATGGCCATAATTAAGTGAAAATGACCAGCGGCTATACCCTGAAGGAGAGCCGAGAAGGCAGGCATGTTAAAGTTAATTGGCACTGCTCTTTACACCCCATCACACCCCCTCAGATTCTCAGTGGAAATGCATTACACAAACTGTGCCACGATGATGAAATGAGCTAAATCCATCTACTATCTGGGACACAGACGTTCGCTCGCTCACATTTTATTACAGGAACACCTGAAACACATAATTACTGCCTCCCTTGATTGGATCACATTGTGAATGAATGATTTAGTCCTGCATGGCGCATTATGCAATGGTATTAAAAGTACTTAGAGCATTTTCACAATCTTACACAATGTTACTGAGCTCACATATGCGCGCCAGTGTGCTTTTAGACTCATTTATTATACAGTTACACCATGTACTGATGTCCAAAGAAGATTTTTATACTATTCCAGTTAATCTGATCATTGACAGCCAGACAATCTCTTTTATGCTTTCTCATTATGTCTCGTCTGAATTATTGGCAGTGCTTGAAAATAATTTCTTCATTTTAGACTCAAACTTGAGTATATGTAACCTAAAAACCCATTATGTGAGGTTTAACCCAGTTAAAACCCTCAGATCTGGGACTATATATGTACTATATATGTGTGTGGGTGTATATTTAATGTCATTTCTATATAATTGAGATCTTCTCTCTATATATATACACACTGATCAGGCATAACATTCTGACCACCTCCTTGTTTCTACACTCATTGTCCATTTTATCAGCTCCACTTACTGTATAGGTGCACTTTGTAGTTCTACAGTTACAGACTGTAGTCCATCTGTTTCTCTGCATACTTTGTTAGCCCCCTTTTACCCTGTTCTTCAGTGGTCAGGACCCCCATGGACCCTCACAGAGCAGGTGGATCATTCTCAGCACTGCAGTAACACTGACGTGGTGGTGTGTTAGTGCGTGTTGCGCTGGTCTGAGTGGATCAGACGCAGCAGTGCTGCTGGAGTTTTTAAACACCTCAGTGTCACTGCTGAACTGAGAATAGTCCACCAACCAAAAACATCCAGCCATCAGCGTCCTGTGGGCAGCGTCCTGTGACCACTGATGAAGGACTAGAGGATGACCAACACAAACTGTGCAGCAGCAGATGAGCTATCGTCTCTGACTCTACATCTACAAGGTGGACTGACAAGGTAGGAGTGTCTAATAGAGTGGACAGTGAGTGGACACAGTGTTTTAAAAACTCCAGCAGCACTGCTGTGTCTGATCCACTCGTACCAGCACAACACACACCAACACACCACCACCACGTCAGTGTTACTGCAGTGCTGAGAATGATCCACCAGCCAAATAGTACCTGCTCTGTGAGGGTCCATGGGGGTCCTGACCACTGAAGAACAGGGTAAAAGGGGGCTAACAAAGTATCAGAGAAACAGATGGACTACAGTCTGTAACTGTAGAACTACAAAGTGCACCTATATAGTAAGTGGAGCTGATAAAATGGACAATGAGTGTAGAAACAAGGAGGTGGTCATAATGTTATGCCTGATAGGTGTATATATATATATATATATATATATATATATATGTATATATATGCATATATAAAGCATACACATGCTTTCATCTACTCTGCAGCATTGGTAATGAAGGAAAGAAGATCTTAATTATATAGAAATGACATTAAAAAGAAATATTAAAAAATGAATAATCTGACTTGCTTATGAAGTTTCGTAAGCAGCTATAACAACTTAATAAAAGCTCTTCAGAAACCTTGAATGCTGAAAGCATCAAAGTACTTCTGCCTTATATTTGTTTTGAGTCTACAGATTCCCTACATACATTCCCTTGATTAGGTCACATTGTACACACATGGCTTGGTGCATTTTGGGAAATGTTCAGACATTTATACTCTACATCAACACAGCTTCATATTTCTGGCCTTGGGTGTAAGAGGGAGTCGCTGACTTACAAACAGAAAAAATATAAGCATGAACTGCAATATGTAGCCATATGAAATGGAATGGAATCATATTTATTATACAACTGAATTTCGCATATGCTGGGTCTATTTCAGTAAATGGAAGTGAAAAAGTCTATTTTTTTCAGTGAACACTGATCTTTATTTGCAGCACTTGATGGGTGTTGTTACCTCTTGTTGGAGGTGATGGGGATCCTCCAGTTCTTGATCTGACTCAGCTCCGTATCGGACACCTCGATGTCCAGAGGAAGACGAGGGATCCACACCTTCATCTCCAGCTGAGCGCTCAGGTAGCTGTAGGTGAAGTTTACCAACATCTGCACTCGGCCCTTCGTTTCTTTACCGTTCACATAGACGAAATCACACCTGTCCGACACCTGAGGAGAAGAAAAGCGACATGAGCTTTCGATCCTATTTAAAATCACAGCTCCTGTCTGAGATCACGGCTCCTGTCTGAGATCACAGCTCCTGTCTAAGATCACGGCTCCTGTCTGAGATCACGGCTCCTGTCTAAGATCACGGCTCCTGTCTAAGATCACAGCTCCTGTCTGAGATCACGGCTCCTGTCTGAGATCACAGCTCCTGTCTAAGATCACGGCTCCTGTCTGAGATCACAGCTCCTGTCTAAGATCACGGCTCCTGTCTGAGATCACGGCTCCTGTCTAAGATCACGGCTCCTGTCTGAGATCACGGCTCCTGTCTGAGATCACAGCTCCTGTCTAAGATCACGGCTCCTGTCTAAGATCACGGCTCCTGTCTAAGATCACGGCTCCTGTCTGAGATCACAGCTCCTGTCTGAGATCACAGCTCCTGTCTAAGATCACGGCTCCTGTCTGAGATCACGGCTCCTGTCTGAGATCACAGCTCCTGTCTGAGATCACAGCTCCTGTCTAAGATCACGGCTCCTGTCTAAGATCACGGCTCCTGTCTGAGATCACAGCTCCTGTCTGAGATCACAGCTCCTGTCTGAGATCACGGCTCCTGTCTAAGATCACAGTTCCTGTCTGAGATCACGGCTCCTGTCTAAGATCACGGCTCCTGTCTGAGATCACGGCTCCTGTCTGAGATCACAGCTCCTGTCTAAGATCACAGCTCCTGTCTGAGATCACGACTCCTGTCTGAGATCACGGCTCCTGTCTGAGATCACAGCTCCTGTCTGAGATCACGACTCCTGTCTGAGATCACGGCTCCTGTCTGAGATCACGACTCCTGTCTGAGATCACGGCTCCTGTCTAAGATCACGGCTCCTGTCTGAGATCACGGCTCCTGTCTAAGATCACGGCTCCTGTCTGAGATCACAGCTCCTGTCTGAGATCACAGCTCCTGTCTAAGATCACGACTCCTGTTTGAGATCACGACTCCTGTCTGAGATCACGGCTCCTGTCTGAGATCACGGCTCCTGTCTGAGATCACAGCTCCTGTCTGAGATCACAGCTCCTGTCTAAGATCACGGCTCCTGTCTAAGATCACGACTCCTGTCTGAGATCACGACTCCTGTCTGAGATCACGGCTCCTGTCTAAGATCACAGCTCCTGTCTAAGATCACAGCTCCTGTCTAAGATCACAAGATTTTCTTGTAGCTACCAGGTAATGTTAGTCCACATTATAAACATTATAAAAATCTTTTTTTAAATAAAAGACTTTGATGTATCATGTAAACAATATTAAAATTTTAAAATCTACTATTTACTCCCCAGCCCGTACAGTCATATGCAAAAGTTTTGGCACCCCTGGTCAAATGACGTTTTTGTTGATTTTTTTTTCTCTAATTTGTTAAAGTTAACAAATCCTGTACAGAGAACACACTTTTAAATGCACTATTACTATTTATTAAGTCCCAAGACATGAGCGTCAAACGCTGCCCATACAGTCGTATGCAAAGGTTTTGGCACCCCTGGTCAAATGACACATTTCTGTTAATTTTTTTCTTAATTTGTTGAAGTAAGTTAACAAATCCTCTACAGAGAACCCACTTTTAAATGCACAATTCCTATTTATTTGCTTAAAATACTGGAATCAATTATACAATGTGCAAAAGTTATGGCACATTTTTATATTTCATGTTCTTTTTTTTTCAAATATATTAAACTCAGCAAATAAATAGAAATTGTGCATTAAAATTTGCACACAAAATCCATATTTAAGGTTGTTCCCTGTACACACTACATGTATATGTTGCTGACACTGTGCTAGATTGGTTACAGCTGTATAACCATCATTATATATAATATTGCTGTTAAAATTATTTGCTAAACTAATTTACAGCGTTTACGAGTGAAAGAAATGAAGGGAGAATAAGTAAATTGGACTGTGAGTGGAAAATTAGTGCTGAAAAAGTGGCATTTTGTGTAATATTCACCAGAAGATGCTGACCAAAAAGCCAGTGGGCCGCCAGTGGCCCACTATCTGGGAAGCTAGGTGGCTAGTGTTGAGTTGACATCCTATGCTGAGGTCAGAAGGGGCATATTTCCCTATTTGGAGGTGTGAAATCCCAAGATACAAGCTTTAAACGCTGCATAAGCTTCCATTACCTGGTAGCTACATTAGCCCTGTAGCTTCAGTGCTAAAAGGAGGCAAACTTCAGACACCAAACATGTCTTTCCTGATTAAGCGCATTTGGAGTATGGTGGGAAAATGATGTCTTGCTAAACCATCGCTTTAACAAATTGAATCAGTTCACAGAGAGCTACGTGGCTAGGCTGGGCCTTCTGAGGCTCACTCAGCCTGTAAAAAAGCATTTTAGCTCACAGGTTAATTTGCTTGTAGGTACATTGGGGGGATTTGTTCCATCAGAGCTTGGATAGAAGAGAAAAACAGTGTAAAAGCACTGCATTACGACTAAGCTGTTGTACATTAACTTTTAATTAGCACTTCCAGAATGACTCGCTACATTTATAAACCGAAATTATGGCTGGACTCTAATTACATGTGAAGCTTAACGGAGATTTAACTGTCAGCTTTACATAAAGCAATTCACATCACATCCAGTATACACGGCCTCCCCCTCTTCTACAAGGAAAAAACAGATCAGCAATCAATTCCACAAAGCCAGCGCGCTGAATAATTGCTAATAAGTTATGAGATAAAGAGCTTTCCATGCCCCACTAGCTGCACGCTAACCTGATTGTACATGGTAATCAGGCCGCGAACGCACTAAAGCACGGCTAATGAACTGAAACACTGATCTCCAGGCGGGCGGCGTAATCACATATAGCTCGGCAAATTTATGCTAATTCAATAGCGGGCCCTGCTAACTTGCGCGGGCCCACATTCCTCTCTCTCCCTGCACTTTAAATGGGAATGTAACCTTGGCACGTTAGCTGTCAGCTCTTAGAAATATAGCATGCCTAACACAGGGACGCACAAAGACTCTTAGCGGTTAAGCCTGAGCTTAAACGTTCGCTTTAAATCAATTACAAAGAAATGGAATCGCAGCACGGTCAGAGAGAAGCTGAGTTTCGGCACATGGGTCATTTCTGGGAGATCTAGGGAAAAAAACCCTGAGTAAACAAGCGAGTAGAATGGACAGATGTATGTGTTTGCATGTCTGTGCGTTTCCGTGTAATGTGAGTGATCCCACTGGCTCACGCATGACTCTGCTCTCTTTAATGGGTTATTGGTTTTGAAGAGCTCTAATCCTCTGTGGGACGCGCAAGCACACACTAAGCCACTCGCACTGTGTTAATGTCAAGTTTGTCTTGCATATTATTATTTATGAATGCATAAAAGGGATTAATCCTTTTACGCTTTGTTTTTTTTTGTTTTTTTTTATCCCAATACCAATATTTAAAGGGCCCACATTATGAATAATCAGTATTTTTTAATAAGGGGTTTGATATAGTGTGTAAACAGTGTTAAAATTATTTCAATTTTATTTAAATTTATACCTACAGTTTACTCTCCAGCCCATACAGTCGTAAGCAAAAGTTTGGGCGCCCCTGGTCAAATGACCTGGTTTTGTAGTTTTGTAATGCACACACTGTTTATTTGCTTAAAATATTTGAAAAAGCTGTATAATGTGCAGATGTTGTGGCACATTATATATATATATATATATATATATATACGTTTTTTTTTTCTTTCAAATAAAACTCAGATATACATGTGAATACGTGCATTAAAATTTGCAGACACGTGCCATATTTATCCCCAAAATGGTAACTTTACAGGAGAAGGAAAAAACTTTTACTTTTAATGTAAGTCAATAGAACCAGACATTTTCCAAGTCATTTTTGGCCATTTCTTTTGGTCCATTCGTCATGAAATTTATGCAAAATATAAAGGAAAAACTGAAAAACGACAAAAATGGAGATACAAGGTTTTGTCAAACAGCAAGATATATATATATATATATATATATATATACATAGCTCCACCCACTCACACTGAAGTTATAAGGAGTGTTCAGCCTGGATGCTGGATGAGGCACAATACAGAGCAGCCAATCAGAAGAAACAGATAATCTGCATATTTAATTTTTAAAGGCACATTAACATGTTTTTTTAAGAGTAAAAAGAAAGAACATGTAAAACGTTAATTACGACTGTCTTTAATACAAATTAAATATAAAACAAAAATATGTTCTCCTTAACTGAACACATCCATGTGTGAAGTTAATAACAAAATTATTATTTTTTTTAGCATGAGTTTTAAGAGTGAAGACTGGACACAACGATAACTTTTCATCTAATTCAAATCATAATTAATTACCTCATCTTCTATATTTACAAACCCAAATGTGGCCTAGATTGAAAGATTACAGTCTGCACTTTCTGCAATTTCTCCACTCGTTTCAATGAAACACGAGTTCATATCGATTTACAGTATGCTTCTGTATTTGCTGCCAATAACTTAAAAGACTTTAAAGGATTAAAAATCATTCCACAACAACCAAATGTGTGTACACACCACAGACTGACCTCCTACTCCCTTCATGGACGACACTGATGGTCTGCTAATGCCACGTACTAATGAACAGGCTGTTCATGTTAAACAGAGGGGCTTATCTCTTATCTCTGTTAAGTGTAAACAGGACAGTACATTAAAGCCTGCTGCACAAAGCAGACTTGCTTATGTGGTCAGTGTGTGACACCGTCATCGATAAACACGGCAAAGTATTGTAGCGGAAAACAGTAGCATCTTGAAACCTGAATGCTATAGATAACAGTGTGTACAGTGTCGGAAACCACACATTCAAGTCAATTCAAGATACTTATCAAGGCACGGGCATAGTTACATGGGTGCCTGGGGGTCCGAGGCCTACTCACCCTGCTGAACAAAACAGTACAGTCCAGCATGAGTTCCACGCTCGTCTTAAGCTGGTTTATGCTGGTCACCCAGAATGGGCATCCAGGTTGACCAGCACACCACAGTTTCT